AGAATTAGGACGATAAATTATGGCTTTCGGAATTTGGATGGGATTGTGCTTAGCCTAGTATGTTAGGCGTACGTGGCATGTACGTTGGGCGTACTAGCTTAAGTTGATCGCAATGTTCCTTCCTGGTACGCTGAGCGTACCAGGAGTACGCTGGGGGTACGTAAGGCAGATGAAAACCCTAATATTTCGGTCTTGGGCCCTATTTAAAGACCTTAATTCATTCCAAACCATTCTTACCTTCAGCCTCCATCCTCTCTAACCCTGAATTCGAAACCCTAGCCCCATTTGAAAGATTATTGAGCCTTTGAGTGTTTTTGGTATGTTTTTGGTGCTTTTGGAAGAAGAAGAACTCATTGGAGGAGTGTTGGCTAGCTTGGAGCTTGAAGATCCATAACTCTTTTCCCCTTTGCAAGCTCCTAGAGGTATAAAGCTTCAAACTTTATGACTTATTAGCTTAGATCTAGATTTGGGAATATGTTTGGTATGTTTTGGTCCCTTGGTTTGGTTTTTGTGAGTAGAAGTTACTCCAGAACCTTTGAGCCCTATTTCTGGTATTTGTTGAGGTCATTACGTCATAAAAATTGAATCTTGATGGGTATAACTTTCTCATGCTAAAGTTTGTGGCCTTTTGGTGAAGTTATAAATCTAGGGCTTTGGTTTGGACACCATTAAGCCATGCAAAGTCATAAAGTCAGGAACTTTATGACTTAAGACATCCCTTTTGAATCATATCCGAGTGTTGGGCTTAAAGTCTAAAGGCGTTAAGAAGTTTGGATTTGAGATCGGGCTTCAGCGTCGTACACCGGGCGTACTTGGGTGGTACATGGGGCATACTCACGAGAATGGCTCTTGGGCCATTTTGGGCTTTGGGTCGTTTTGGGTTTGGGCCTTTCTTTGTTGGGCCAAGTATAGGAAGGGTAAAATAGTCTTTTACCCCTTGGTATGATAAAATAAGAACTGGGCCTTGGATTATGGGTGATTGCCTTAATTATTGATTACGAATGATTTTTGGATATGTTCGGTGTAAGGATCCAGGTTGCAGCAGCGTGTGTGTGTTTCGGTTATCTCGGATAGAGGTGAGTCTCCTCACTATACCTGTGGGTCGAAGACACCAATACCGGCCTACTAGGATATGTTATATAGGATGCTAGCTGTCTTTGTGACTCTTGCATTGTATGATGGGCTGGGCCCAATGACATGCATGTAGGGTTGGGCCCAACTGATGAGAAGGATGGGCCCATCATATGTTGGGTTGGGCCCATTGTATGACGAGCTAGGCCCAATTGGTATGCTAGGTTGGGCCCATTGGTTAGGAAGGGCTAGGCCCATTATTATGGGTTGGGCCAAATGTGCGGGTTAGGCCCAATGATATGTATGGTATGTGGTATTTTGGGAAACTCACTAAGTTTTATGCTTATGATATCATGTTTATGGTTTCAGGTACTTCCAGTTCGAAAGGGAAGGGCCCAACGTGACTGCACAACATCCCCCCAGAGTTTATTCCGCATTTGATTAGTCATGATTTTACTATGATGTTTAAATACTATTTTTCACATTGATGTAATTTTGGGAACAGAATGTTATATGAATTAATGTTTAAAAATAAAAACATTTCCTTGGATTTTTGGGTTGTTACATTAAAATGACCAAAATACAAGATTTTTTTTTCTTCTATTTTACCTGATTGTAATGATAAAAATGAAAAAAATAGATTTAAATTGTTAAATGACCAAAACGGTCCAAATGTGTTTTATATACTTGTAATGCCAATTTAAATGACCAAAATACTATTTTTTTTCCCTGTTTTACTTGATTGAAATGAGAAAAATGACCAAATTTGCCATTTTGACCAAATGACAAAACTAAACTTAAATGAATGACCAAAAAGGTTCAAATGTGTTCTTTTGTATCTGTAATGAAAAGTTTATAAATGACTCGAATACTAATTTTTTTATACCCGATTGAAATGAGCAAAATTGTATTTTTACCAAAATGATAAAAATAGACTTATGGTCAAAATGACCAAAACGGACCAAATACGTTTTTTGTTCATGTAATGCAAAGTTAAAATAACAAAAGTACTAATTTTTTATATTTTACTTAATTGAAATGAGAAAAATGAGTAAAAATGTCATTTTGACCAAAATAGACTTAAATGGTCAAAAGAACGTATAATGCCAAGTTAAAAACGACCAAAACACACTTTTTTATGTTTTACCCGATTGATTGAAATGACCAACACATAAATAACATTTCTTGCATTATAACAATGTACTTTCAAAGTAAAATACTTAAATAAGTAAATTTACTAATTAAAAAGAATTTGACCAAATATCTCAAAATTATGACTTTAATAAATTTTCAAGAATTGACCAAATATATCAAAATTATGACTTTTAAATAGTACAGTGCTATAAATGAACTTAAAAACAATCAATTTTTCAAAACCTAGCCAATTATGTCATAATTGTTACTTTTAAATAATACAATGCTATAAGTGAAATTAAAAATGTCATTTTTTCAGAAACTGTCCAAATATGTCATGATTATGACTTTCGGATAGTACAATACTATAAATGAACATAAGAATTGTCATATTTACAAAACAATCGCTCATATTTTGATTGCTATTTCTTAGTGAAGGTTGTGATAACTTTCGCATGTAAAGGCGAGTTTGCCTTTGTCCTCACAGTCTCCCAATACTGCAACAACAACCACAATCAACTTACTTCTCTTTTATCACTTCTTTTTCCACCACTCGTGGTTCTTCAAATAGGAAAAGGATAAGGTAATTAATCTATAAGTAAATTGTCAAAAATACTTTGTCCTATTAAGACAAATTGGAACTACAATGTTATAAATAAGTTAATATCTTATTATAGCATCACTTTTGACCACTTTTACCCATGTCCAAAATTAATTGCCAACCTAAACTACCATGGTATTCTAGGTTAAAAAGAAACACCAGGAAAAGATAGCATTTTGTGATAACATACACATCAAAGTTTTCATTTTGTCAAATCATCCAACAATTAGGCATGTGTTATGAAATAGTTGTAACTTACAAACAAAGATAAATGATGTTACCTTGTTAGTAGAAGAATCAACATCAAATCCTCCAATAGTAGTTATTGCTTATTGAACCCAAAATCAGCCTCGACACATGAAAGACAATTGTTTCTATTCTTAGAGTGTATATCTAGCCCTTTTTAGCCAATCAAACATAAATCTCGGTAATCAATAGCTGATTTAGCGAGACTGTTATAGTGATTCTCCAGTAAAGCAAATTGAAGAAATCGTAGAAAATCAGGAACAAAATCAAAAATAATTCGACTTTAGTTTAAAGGAGTAGAAGGGTAAAACTGGTACTTCACTTTGTAAAATTATAAAGTGAGGAAATGTCATGTAGCATAAAAATGATTCTTTTTATTAGATATGAATATATAGGCAAAAAATAAAATATTATATAGACAAAAAATAAACAAAATAAAATATAAAAAAAATGTAGCATAAGTTTGATTGTAATAAAACAAGAAATAATGTGAAAGTAAAATAAACATAATAGTTTAATATAAATTTTAAAACACTTCTTTTTATGTTACATTGGAAGTTTTATTGATCATATCATCATTATCTAAAATCAACGATTTCAATCATTTTCTGCTCTGGATGAAGCAACGTATACTGATTCTCGCAAAAACAAGCCAACCTTCGACAATGATTGACCATGACTCTTATTTATAGTCATAGCAAAATAAACATCCAGGGGAAATTGTATTCTTTTGAATTTGAATGGAAATTTTATGTCTGAAGGTGTTAAAGACAATCTTATGAAGGTGTTAAAGACAATCTTGAAATAGAAGTTCAATGTCCGATATTGTTTCCTGACCATTGTTTCAATGACTCGATTGCCCAATGATACCACATGAAATATAGTCTCATTACATAAGCCATTTTGTTGTCGATGTTTCTTAGTAACATAATCAGAACGCGCACTTTTAAAATTAACTTATGTTTCTTAGTAACATAATGACCATGAATAACGGTGTGTGGGTTATAACAATAGAGCGATTTCCATATAAATCGTATGAAATATGGCTAATATGTTTGTGTAGTTTTATTAGGCTAATCCGGATTAAATTAATTCTTTAATAAATAAATACATCATCTAATCACAACTACTCATTTCCTTAATCATGCCCAAATTCATTCTCACATTACCTTCATATGATAAACTTATTCTGAGAAATTAAATATCTTCTTAGTCTTTTACTTTTTGTTTTTACCTACCTTCCTACACATTTGATCAAGACAAATGTCAAAACTAAAAGATGTGGTTAAGAGAGAGAATTAATAGTGTCCACAAGTCAATATTCTATAAAAGTAGGAATATGAATAGGAACAAAATACAAGAGAATATTTAATTTCTCATTTATTTTTCATTTTGAACCTAATTCAAAGGACATTGCTTAACAAAAGACAACCTTATATTGTGTTGAGCTTTTATTAACTACGACTAAGATTGATGTCCATTGTACAAAAATTATAGTTTTTCATTCCGCTTAAGATATAGACTCTCTCGATCTATCACACTATCACCAAAATAACTTTATAACATTTATACAAACATCAAAATGGAGCTCTATCCATGTAGACCCCACTTCAAAAGCATTATCCTATCCGATATCCATTATCTACATGATAATGCCCCCTGCATACTTTCTTTGGCTCAAACTTTCTCTCTATAACTTATGGATCAGATTCTCTCCCTCCAAGAAAAACTAGAAAATACCCATCAACAACTAGCAAATCTCTCTTTCTCTACCCACACTACACAAAAACACACATACATACACACACAACACCCATTAATGGTTGGGACATCAATCCACCAAAATTTATTCTTACCACACCCACAAGAACATCACCATCACCAAAAACCGATCGATTTCACTTCAAGAGAACAAGAATGCATCTATCTTCTCAAAAAATGCAAGAGCATGGAAGACTTAAAGCAATCTCATTCTCTAATCCTCAAACTCGGCTTACTTTCAAGCTCTTTCTGCGCATCCAATCTTATTTCCATTTCTGCCCTTTCTCACTTCGGCAGCATGGACTATGCATGCTCAATCTTCCACCAAATCGACTTCCCAAATTCGTTTCAATTCAACACCATGATAAGAGGCCACATTAAAGATACAAATCTTGATGAAGCTATCATCTTTTATAATCGAATGCTTGAAATGGGTATTCATCCAAACAACTTCACATACCCATCACTTCTCAAAGGGTGTTCTTATCTACAAAGACTTCAAGAAGGAATGCAACTTCATGGGCATGTTTTCAAGATTGGACTTCAAGATGATATCTTCGTGCAAAACAGTTTGATAAATATGTACGGAAAGTGTCGCGAAATAACGAAATCGTGTACCCTTTTTAACCAAATGGATGATTTGGATAAAAGTTCGGCTACTTGGAGTGCAATTATTGGGGCCCACGTGAGTAAGGAAATGTGGGGTGAGTGTCTTGATATGTTTAGGGAGTTAAGTAGTCGAAAAGATTGGAGAGGTGAAGAGAGTGTTTTAGTTAGTGTTTTATCTTCTTGTATTAATCTAAATGCCTTAGATTTAGGAAGATCTACACATGGGTTTTTGATAAGAAACTTAAGTGGATTAAATGTGATTATCGAGACTACTTTACTAGATTTATACTTAAAATGTGGATCTTTGGAAACCGGGTTGTCCATCTTTGAAAGAATGAAGGTGAAGAACGAATGGTCTTATAGTGTCATGATTTCGGGGTTGGCGTTTCATGGTTATGGCATCGAAGCTTTGAGGGTATTTTCGGAAATGCGTGAAAAGGGATTCGAACCAGACGGGGTTGTTTACATTAGTGTCTTGACAGCGTGTAGTCACGCGGGACTTTTAAAAGACGGTTTTACCCTTTTTGAGAAGATGAAAGAAGACAAGGTAGAGCCGGCAATTGAACACTACGGGTGTTTAGTGGATGCCATGGGTAAAATGGGAAAAGTGACAGAAGCTTTCGAATTCATAAAGAAAATGCCAATGGAAGCAAATGAGGTGGTTTGGTATAGTCTTCTTGGAGCTTGTTGGGTTCATAAAGATCTTGAATTGGGAGAAAAGGTTGCAAAAAAGCTACTAGAATTGAATCCACAAACGAATGGTGTGTATGCGATGTTATCGAATATATACGCAAAAAGTCAAAGATGGGAGCTTGTGAGTTTGACTCGAAGGGCATTGGTAAATCCATTGGTAAAAACTCATGGTTTTAGCTTTGTTGAGGTAAAAAGAAAGGTTTATAAGTTTGTTTCAAATGATACATTGTGGGCTAAATGTGAAGGGGTAAGTGATATGCTTTACCAAATGCAATGGCAGTTGAGATTTGAAGGGTATTTACCGGATTTATCAGAAGTTTTTCTTGATGTTGATGAAGATGAAAAGAGCGAAAGATTGAGTAGACATAGTCAAAAGTTGGCAATTGCTTTTGGGTTGATTCATACTTCAAAAGGTTCATCAATTAGGATTGTTAGAAACATGAGAATGTGTAAGGATTGTCATGTTTATACGAAAATGATTTCATTGATCTATGAAAGAAGAATTGTTGTTAGGGATAGGAATAGGTTTCATTGTTTTGAAAATGGGGTATGTTCTTGTAAAGATTATTGGTAAGCTAATTTAGAGGTAAATACAAGAAATAGCAACATACCTTGCTTTATTTTTGTGTATTGTAAGCCTCATATTTTTATTTCTTTCTATTACAGGGTTATATTTTCAATATTTTTTTATTAAAGCATTATACTTTGAAAAAAATACTCAATTGTTGTATTGCAGTTTCAAAGTTTTTTCTTAATAATACTTTGAAAAATCTAACCAATCATAGCATTGTACTTGTGAAAGTTGTTACGTATTTGGATGACATTGCAATTATTAGGTTTATTTTTAGTACATTGTTGTAATAGGAAAATACGAAAGTAGAATGCTACAAAGTTCATAACTCATCAATTTAATTTACGTATTACAACATTTGAAGAAAAATACAACAATAAACACCGACTTTATTCCTATAATACTCCAAAAACAATGTGATCATGTATTCCATCTAAACATGGTAATCATGAAATTAAAAATACAATATCACACGATACTAATAGAAGAAATACCGGATGTGATTTGATTGGTTCGAGGATCAGCATTCTCTAAAGAAACACCACGAGGGTCTTCTCTTACTAGCAAAGCTAAAACATTGTGTGAACTCCACGCTTTAGAAAGGTTTTGACCGGAATCTCCTAACATAACTGCAAATACCGCATCGAAACCTCCGGCTCCAGGAACTCCGGCCAACAAAACTCCGGGCATGTTCATTGTCGCATCCAAAAGTTGAGTTTGTGATTCCGGTTCTATCTGGAAAACCAAAATCAGTTTTTAGGCCCATCTGTTATGTGTAGCACAGGACGGGATGACTCTTGCGATTAGTCTATCTCGTGTGCCACTTAGTTTTTCTTCGACTAAGTCAGGCTACTTTGACGATCTTAGATGTACTAACGAAATTGGAAAGCAAGAGATTAAAAATTCAAGAATAAAAAGGGTGTTCGTATTAGGACAGATCAGGTTGTAGTGCGTTTGACATGCATTGGACTGACGCTGAGATTGATGGCAGTGGGACAAATATATTGCAATTTTTTTGTCTCATCCTAATAAGTGAAACAAGGTGGGACGTAGACTCGCTCTCGATCTCTCGTTCGTGCAAAAGACGTAAATGCCCTCATCATCTTCATTATCAAAAATAGCCTTGGAAAGCTTGTCCAACCCTGTCCTGTCGTATTCACATTTAAGAAATGCAGCCGAAGGCTGCGTTTGTTAAACAGGACTGGACTGGACACGCTTTCCAAGGCTATTTTTGATAATAAGGATAATGAGGGCATTTACGTCTTTTGCACAAACGAGAGATCGAGAGCGAGTCTACATCCCTCCTTGTTTCACTTATTAGGATGAGACAAAAAAATTGCAATATTTTTGTCCCACGGACATCAATCTCAGCGTCGGTCCAATGCATGTCAAACGCAGTACAACCTGTTATGTTCTGTTGTCGGATGAAAAAGTACATGAAGTAACATGGTATATTTATATTTTATACTATTAAATAATATTGCTTAATATTTAAAATATAAAAATGAGAATTTACAGGTATTCCTGCAGCCTTCCCCATCTCCCTCATGTGAAACCTGATGTTAAGCATGGCATCCCGAGCTCCAAATAATGTTTTCACAATTTCTTGACTTATCGTTTCACTTGCTTGCTCTCTCCACTATAAAACACTATGAGCTCAAATATATTTAAAAAAAAAAAACAAAAATTTATGAAATATGAAGTACCTTTTCTGATTGATACATGCTGCAGTTGTAAATAACACCTTTATACGTTTCCCAATATTCTTCTGCAAATTTGCTTAACAAATTTAACTGTGCTTCAAGTGTTGTATTTGCTTCTGACAATTGTTTCCATGTATTTGATGAGTTTTGAGGGTCAGAGTTCTGCCATTTTTTTACAGCACCAACCATTGATGGAGTTGATGATCCTCCAGTTCCTGGCTCACCTAGTAACTGTAAAAAATGGTTAAAATTTTATTGTTTTAACTTTTTAAAAAAGTTAAAAAAAATATATATATATATATATATATATATATATATATATATATATATAGATATGTAATCATGAAATAGCTTAAGTTATTTACCAGATTCATTAATGGTGGCAAGGAGAATTTGGTCCTTTCATGATCCCATTTTCCCTTTAAGACATCAGACACAACTTCTTCTAGTGGTAGGGCTCTGATTACATTCTGAAACTCAAAAAGATCAAGAAATTGTCATGAATTTTGTTATTTACAAACTGTAATTTAATTATAAATTTATAATCATGAAAATTTTTTGCCATTGTAAATTTACATAAATAAAAAAGGGTGAAACTGCAAATTTTCATTCCACTCCATGAAGGTATGAAAAATATAAATATAACCTAAATGGAAAAAATCACAAATATAAATATTATTTTCGGTTATTTAAAAAAAAAATGTAACTTAATTACAGTCATGAGAATTTTTGTGCCATTCATTATTACACAAACAAGAACAGGTTATATTGTAAATTACATAAATGAGTAAATAACATTCATTATTGCACAAATAAAAATATATTTCATAGTTTTTCTTCAAATAAAATAGTAATCCAACTAAAATCATCATTTTTTTTGTCATTATAAATTACATAAATGACAACAGATTATAATTATATTGTATCTTTTTTCATCCCATTCCATACTAGAATGAATAAAAAACACTACTTCTAGTTAACGAATGAAAATTAACAAAATGGAATGGAATCACATTCCTCCAAGAATTCCCATTCCATTCTACCATGGAATGGAATCACATTCCTCCAAAAATGGTCCATTTCATTCCATAATGCAAACCAAACACATTCCAATCCTTCTCCAATTCCATCATCCCAAACACTTTCTTAGAGAGAGAGAGAGAGAGAGAGAGAGAGAGAGAGAGAGAGAGAACCTGAGCAGAAGAGATAACTTGTGGTGAAAATCTTACATAACGATGACTTCCATAAACAGCTGAACTAACATCAAATCCACTCCCAACTTTTCCTTGAGCAATACAGTGAGCCATTTGGGCTATAATATGCACCACATCAAGATTTTCTTGATATTGGGCCCCACTATAAGATGAAAGATTAACAACTCCAAGGTAATTAAGTAAAGCAGCAACCACTGCTGTGGTCATGGCTGCAGAAGATCCCAACCCAGTTTTTGCAACTTCAGGCTTAGAATTTTCTCCACTTGAAGAATTCAAAGTAATTGAAGAAAAAGGTGGTAGAGATGCCAGTGATTCCGGGGTTAGTGGAAGCCCACGTGCTTCAATCTGTATATTAAGTCACAAAACAACATTTTATTTTTACAGAAAAAAAATGTTAGATCTTCAATTTGTAATACAAATACAATGTTAAAAGATATTAACTGATCAGATTTGTAGTTATGTTTTGGTTGGATGTAATGGAATGACAAAAGAATAGGAATGGAATGGAATGAGGCATTCCATTCCATCATCATGGATGGTTTGTATATTGTAGAAAAGGAAGAGCACCTCATTGCGATAGGAATAAAAGTCATTGCCACCTAAAATTGTAATATCAAAACCTGTACAGATAATACCATGTTACACATAAATACTCAAAAAAAAAAAAAAAAAACACCATTCAATATGAAATAATAAGTTAATAACAACTAGAGCATCAAAAATTACCTTTCAGAAGCAGTTTTTGAAGTGCATCCTTCTTTTCATTATCAAATGTTGCATATGCTGCTGCTACAGCATATTGCACTGCATATTCCACAAAAGGGTTCCTTGATTCACTGAGAAATACATAACAAAACTTGTTGATGATGCATATTGATCCACAAAGATTCCTAATATATATGCTTAAATTATACTCCAATTAAGGTATTTGATGGATAAGATACATGCCTGGAAGTGCATTGAAGAGTAAAATGCTTTAGTGACATTTTGTAGATAGCTTCTCTGCCCATTTGAGGAGAAGTTAACTTCAAATCTGTCCATGACTGAAAGGTGAAAAATCATCATTATAGAAGTAATGTGATAGTTGAATGTAGGATCTTAGAGTTCAAGGGGAAAATACACACCCAAAGGCAACTGTTTGGCGTTAGTTCATCATAAAGTGGCTTTACAATTGCATAAAAACGAGCATTTGTACTTAGTACAATCCCAGCATTTGGCCTCTCCAAAACAAGGTAACCTCCTGTGATCAGAACCTTCCCAGGAGCAGATGCAATTCTGAGAAAAAGAAGTGGAAATTTGGTCAATCTGGATTCGGATTACAATTGCTGAAGTTAACAATTTCAAGTAGAGATACAAGACTTACACTGCCATTACTTCTTGAATGTTCTCGATCTGAGCTGTTACAAATGAGAGTTTAGTCAGATAAATTGAAATCACAGATGAACACTACAATGGGAAGAATTAGGAATACGAAATTTTCATGTGTTTATTGAATCCAGTAATTTTCGAATGCAAAACCGACATGGAGGACTTGTTTTCAGTTAGTTCAAGCGAGTGGGTATTTTTTTTCTTTTTAAATAAGTTCAAAATCTTTATCGATTTTCCATCCAGAAGTGATTAGAACTTAGAAGCTGTGTGAACTATTCTGGATCTTCAAATAGTTTCAAAAGCGATCACGAACCTCGTAAATTTTGTGATTACTACTGATGAGAGTAAGTGATCCGCGATTGCACAGAGAAGAGATGGAGTATTTACCTAGAAAAGCAGTTCGATAGTATGGAAATGAGACAGTAGTACGTAGTCACTGTTGAAGCTTCGAAGTTTGGGAAGAAGTCTGCTATGGCGGTCTTTAGGAGGCGAATGATCCAAATGGGTTTACCCTGTGTTTGGGCTTCGTGTTTCGATCAGTGGCGGAAAGGATCAAAGGGTATCCCCAATTTTATTTTTTTTTAAGGTAACCCAATTTTTTTTTTACAGGGTACTTGGGTATCCCCGGTTCGGTTTCGGTTTTAAACCGAAACCTTAATTGATTTCTTAAATAACCTCAAGTCTTGTTATATAAACAGGAAGGTGAAGTATATTTTGATACCTGAATCGATGTGGGACTCAAATTAGATATCAAATGAAGCATGAGGATAACATGTTTATATAATAGACAAAAATGATTGATTTTACATGTGTTTGGCGATGTGGGATAGAATAGTTGGGAAAATAAAACAAAAATAAACAAAGGATATGTAAGGAGCATGAATCGAACCTGAGACCTTTGCTTTAATAAGTCAACGCCTTAACCAGTAGACCAGTTGTTTGTTTGTTTCTAAAAGTGAAGGGATACGTATATATACACTATACCGGGAAAAAAAATTGAGGGATACGTAAACAAAAAAATACACTACTGAAAAAAAATTGAGGGGTATCCCGGGCTACCCCGGGATCCCCTTGGATCCGCCCCTCATTTCGATCTCTATTCTCTAACCATATCAAACATTTTTAAGACAAAAATGCAATATTGGTTTTATGGTATTCAAAAAATTATGGATAGAGTCTAAAAACTTTTCAACTTGTATGGAAGGTATAAAATCAAGTTTTTTTTTTTTCGTGTTTTTAGTCCATTCCGTCTGTGTCCGTTTTCTTGGAACCGTTAGGGCCATCACGTGCCCTCCATGTGAGGGTATTTTGGTCTTTTTGCTTCCTAGCCTCCGTTGCCGCCATTTGAATTAATAAGTCTGGATTAGCAATAATGATCCAGACGTACTTCACTCCTTCGTCTTCTCTCACACCTCCTTCATCAATCGAGACGCAAAACCCTAACCATTGCTCGAGCTTCGATTATCGTCCATGCTATTGAAAATGTGGGGACTCATAAATATTGGAGAAAATGTTAACATTCAGGAAGTGTATGGTAAGATGCTCCGTATTTGATGTTTATGTTTCAAACTTTGAAAAATTCTAACAATCATCTCTTTCTGTTTTGAAGGTGGTTACCCCAACATATTCTCTATTAAACTTCATCACGAAGGGAGTTTCACAAAGTTTCTAAATATCGGGTACACTAATGGGCAAGTTAGGTACTTTGATGTTGTCAACATTGATGAATTTTCTATGCATGAACTAAACTTGATGATGAGAGAATTAGGGTATGATGGTACTGAAATCATGTATTACCATATTTGTTTGCCTAATGAAGGTTTTGATTTTGGACTACGAGCATTAGGTAATGATGATGATGTGTGTAATCTCTTACAATATGTTACTCATAACAAACTCATAAAAGTGTACACAGAGAATGGGAAAACGAACTTGCTTACATATTTTATGTCCCCAAAAGGTCCTAGAAGGGTTATAATATAAGAGATTGACAATGAGGAACCTCCTAGACCCCATCCCATGTAGTTGCTCATAAAGTGGTAACTCCAATCCAGAATGAAGTTGATGAGGGTGACTTAGGGTTAGCATTAGCCTTATACAAGTCAACAACACTTGAATTTAGTAGGCCAAAGGTTGGAAACATAGTAAAGGGGGATCATCTTGTAGTAAAAAACTTAACTTGGATTGGGAAGGTAATGGTGAACAAACATTGGCAAGTGGTGAAGTTGATACAGGTAAGGGTGTTGAGTCAATCCATCCTGAAGTTGTTGTAGTAGATGCAGAAAAAGAGGTAAACCAAGAGATTGAATTGAATGAAGAACTTGGTATGAACAAATCCAATGGTGAGGGTGTGGAAGGATTTACAGATGAAGGGTATAGAGTTGTCATGGATAATGAACCTCAAGTAGCCAATGAAATTCAAAATAACATCCACATAGATGATAACTTAATGACAAACTTTCAACCACTTGAGGTGTTTAAAGACCAAGATAGCATTCCATGTCATGGGTTTAAAGTCTAAGATAGTATTGCTTTCAATAATGAGTGGAGACAAGAGGGTCCTGATGATATGGAGTTTGAGAGTCAAAACAGTGAGGATGAAGATAGTGACTTAATGATTGATGAGGACAACATAATTGAAGATGTTGAAGTTGATATGGAGGATTTCAACCTAAATATTGGCATAGAAGTAGAGTTTACTTGATGTCATTGTTTAGGTGGTCAAAGAAATGAAGAGTTTGATTAAAAAGAGGATGTGGAGGTATATGATAATGATGAGTGGGATTAACTAAGTGATGAATCAGGTGATAAAAGGAAAAAAAGGCAAATGATCAAGGAGTTGGGGAAACAAAAATTCCGTTATGCTGGTGAGGTTGTAACATCCTGATTCCCAGGTATGAGATTTTTCCTTTAAGCATGATTTTACATTGGAACACGGCATGGTGAAGGCCTCACCATGGTGTGTTGATGGACTTTTAGGCCGTATATTTTTATGGATCAACACGGCGAGTTGGTGAGGGGAAACTCGGCGTGTTGTCGGTTGGATGAGAAACCCTAAATTTTAGGGTTTTGCACCTGTTGGGTTTTATGTACTATAACACTCCTATGGTGCACATACAACCCTAATGCTTTGGATCTAAGTTTTCTCTAGTTATACATGCAACAAAAATTATCCAAAGCATGAAACCTATCTAGCATACAAATTTGGTACATGAATCATGAAACTAGTTAGAAGAATACCTCTTATTTGTAGCTTGTGGTTGTTGGCCTTTCAAGAGCTTAGCACCTCAGGTGTAATGCCTCAAACAAGTCACAAACACCATGAACAAGTGGAGGATAATGAGAGAGAGGTTTAGGAGCTCAAAATCGGCTAGGCATTAACCTTGGAGTCTAGTGGCCGATTTTGCAAGCGTAAGGGTTCAATTTATAGTTTGGAATTCCTAGGGTTTCAACTTGTAAACCCTAGTTCACTTGGGCTTTTAATCCATTAACTCATTAGCCTTATGGACTAAATCTTCATGGACTCTCACAAAGATTTAGTCCAATCCTAATCAACATGGATCATTAGCCCAAACTATAAATATCACTGATTTACATAACCAGTCCTTGCAAATTTAATTAGTCTCTTTTGATCACTAAATTAATTCTTGACCAATACTAATTAAATAATATGATTTCACAATTAATACATTATACTTATAATATATTAATAAATCACAGATAACCTCTTTCTCAAAATCCATCCTATCAAATTGTCCTGATGAAGGCAACTCGAAATGGACCATGGTACTCTCGGGTCAAGTACATACCAATTATAGTTATGGGCTTAGAGACCTAATACAACAATCTTCCACTTGGATAAGTCTAATAACTATAACTACAAATACGACTTAAAGAACCGACTAGCAATCGTAGCTCTCAAAAAGCCGTTGTCGAACTCTGAACAAATCCATGACACATCTATTAGATAAGGGATCATATATTCCTCCATTATACAAGATATCATATGGATTGAGACATGAATTATAATCATTCTCTCTGTCCATCTGTTGTTTCCCGATTTCCGATTTATGATGACTGGTTAATTGAACAAATCAAATCAGTCCAGGCTTGGCCAAGCGCTTAGGTTTGTCATCACTAAATCATCGAGGGGACCCACAGATATCGCTTTTATTCCTTTTAGGGTAAAAGGAATGGATAAACTTTGACTCATATGTTTGCTCTATTTACTCATCAAATCACACACAAAAATATGTTTTATAACACCAAGTTACTGGTGCGTTTTCATATCATCAATATGCATCCGACTTGTAAACTACAACTCACATGTCTAGGTTTCAAGAATATAAGATATTATCGTCTCATGATCACTCGTGATAAAATCCATGAAGTGATTAAGTGAGCGTGGGTTTAATCCAATACTCAAATCTTATTACAGGAGTACTCATGAACACTGCAGTAAACCTGCGCCATGTCTAAACACCTTAGAAAATCTACAGTCGGATTCATGACAGTCTTACCTCAATACCTACTTCCAAAGTATGATCGACTGTGGATAGTTTGAATAATCTTATTATTCGAGAAGTCAAAACATGCAAAGTGAAACACAAGAATAATCGAATTCAATATGGTCTCAAAACTTTTGAATATAAATAAAACACCTTTTATTTAATCACCGCATTTATTACACATTATTCATTGTATAATGTTTCGATTAATCAACTTAATACTTGAATTAAAACAATAGTTATCCCATTCTCCAAGCATGCACACTATGTTTATATATGGTCCTTACTTTGTGAAATAGATCAAATGAAAACATTTTAATGATGCTCATTTCACAATTCCAAATCCTTATTACTTAGTGTAAGAATACCAAATTCTTGCCACTATTAGAAAGTGTTAGATTCTAAACTATCATGCAATGATCCTTTTGTAATGTCAATGCACCAAATTCACAGAGACTTGGTCACTGAAATTACAAAGTATTCCACTGGAGATTGTTACAAGACAATTCCACAGATACATTCAAAGTACATTTCTTTGAACATCCTTCTTGCATAAAGGTTTCTAACATACACATAGATTCTTAATATCCAACTCCCATTATGAAAACATTCCCATATTTGCCATATGACAATGCATTATTAAAAGAATTTTGTCTATTCATAATAATGTCAATATGGTCCATCCATTACTATACTTCTAACTGTTCTTAAGCAACAAATCCTTAACGAACCTTATATTGTCCTTGACAGTTGTTTAACCACTTTAGTCATATCCTGTTCTAGTCCTTTTTCCCTCTTAATGCCCTAGGCATTTGGAAAATCAGAACATGTGAATATTATAGCATATGCAATCGATCCTATATCTGAAGCATATGGGACACGATTCATAATGTCTTAAATAAAGACATGATACTTGACCAGTCTTTTGCTGTACTATTTCCATATATAGAATTTCCAATGTTGAAATATTTCAACATGGTATTCATATATATCCATGACTAAGTTTGATTAATACTTCAATCTAAACTTTTAGATTCGGAATAAGGCATAAGTATCCTCTCCCTTACTATAGCGAAACAACTTTTCAACCTTTGCAACTTTGCAAATTAGAACTTTGTTTCCTATAAATAGTATTGTTAACTCGCAACACTTACCATAATAATTATGCTCCCACTAGCATAACAATTATTTTGTTACTAGCATAACATTTATGCTCCCACTAGCTTTGACATTTATCCTAAATCAGCTGGACTTCTAGAAATCAATACTTTATTGACTTTCTTACCAAAGTTCAGATTTTTGATACGAGATGACTCGATAAGCCTTTATTTAAGCTCATACACCTTTTATTAGAAAGCTCACATGTGTGTCTAAACTATTTTAGAACTTACAGTAATAAGTCCTGAATGTCCAAACTATTTGCCATTTCTCACAATTCGAACTATGAAGAGGGATGCCATAATCATAATCGAATTTGAGAATGCAAATATCACAATTGCTATCTCCTTAAAATCTACTTAGTGAAAGTGTTTCCTCACAATCATTTTCATGAGTTGGAGAGAAAACTTATGACACTTAGATTTTATGGTGTTTGTGTTCCTTGATGGGTTTT